TTCTTCAAGGTAGCCACCCTTTGCCTTGATGAACGCTTTGCACACGCTTGGCATTCTCTCAACCAGCTTCATGAGGTAGTCACCTGGAATACATTTCAACTAACAGGTGTGCCTTGTTAAAAGTTCATTTGTGGAATTTCTTTCCTTCTTAATGTGTTTGAGCCAATCAGTTGTGTTGTGACAAGGTAGGGGTGGTATACAGAAGATTGCCCTATTTGGTAAAAGACCAAGTCCATATTATGGCAAGAACAGCTCAAATAAGCAAAGAGAAACGACAGTCCATAGTTATTTTAAGACATGAAGGTCAGTCAATCTGGAAAATTTCAAGAACTTTTGAACGTTTCTTCAAGTGCAGTCGCAAAAACCATCAAGCGCTATGATGAAACTGGCTCTCATGAGGACCGCCAGTTACCTCTGCTGCAGAGGATACGTTCATTAGAGTTAACTGCACCTCAGATTGCAGCCCAAATAAATGCTTCACAGAGTTCAAGTAACAGACACATCTCAATATCAACAGTTCAGAGGAGACTGCATGAATCAGGCCTTCATGGTCGAATTTCTGCAAAGAAACCACTACTAAAGGACACCAATAAGAAGAAGAGACTTGCTTGGGCCAAGAAACACGAGCAATGGACATTAGACCGGTGGAAATCTGTATTTTGGTCTGATGAGTCCAAATTTGAGATTTTTGGTTCCAACCACTGTGTCTTTGTGAGATGCAGAGTAGGTGAACGGATGATCTCTGCATGTGTGGTTCCCACCGTGAAGCATGGAGGAGGAGGTGTGATGGTGTGGGGGTGCTTTGCTGGTGACACTGTCAGTGATTTATTTAGAATTCAAGGCACACTTCACCAACATGGCAACCACAGCATTCTGCAGCGATACGCCATCCCATCTGGTTTGCGCTTAGTGGGACTATCATTAGTTTTTCAACAGGACAATGACCCAAAACACACTTCCAGGCTGTGTAAGGACTATTTGACCAAGAAGGAGAGTGATGGAGTGCTGCATCAGATGACCTGGCCTCCGCAATCACCCGACCTCAACCCAATTGAGATGGTTTGGGATGAGTTGGACCGCAGAGTGAAGGAAAAGCAGCCAAGTGCTCAGCATATGTGGAAACTCCTTCAAGACTGTTGGAAAATAATTCCTAATGAAGCTGGATGAGATAATGCCAAGAGTGTGCAAAGCTGTCATCAAGGCAAAGGGTGGCTACTTTGAAGAATCTAAAATCTAAAATATATTTTGATTTGATTAACACTTTTTTGGTTACTACATGATTCCATATGTGTTTTTCATAGTTTTGATGTTTTCACTATTATTATACAATGTAGAAAATAGTAAAGATAAAGAAAAACCCTTGAATGAGTAGATGTGTCCAAACTTTTCACGGGTACTGTATACAGTGGGGAGAACAAGTATTTGATACACTGCCGATTTTGCAGGTTTTCCTACTTACAAAGCATGTAGAGGTCTGTAATTTGTATCATAGGTACACTTCAACTGTGAGAGACGGAATCCAGAAAAATCACATTGTATGATTTTTAAGTATTAATTTGCATTTTATTGCATGACATAAGTATTTGATCACCTACCAACCAGTAAGAATTCCGGCTCTCACAGACCTGTTAGTTTTTCTTTAAGAAGCCCTCCTGTTCTCCACTCATTACCTGTATTAACTGCACCTGTTTGAACTCGTTACCTGTATAAAAGACACCTGTCCACACACTCAATCAAACAGACTCCAACCTCTCCACAATGGCCAAGACCAGAGAGCTGTGTAAGAACATTAGGGATACAATTGTAGACCTGCACAAGGCTGGGATGGGCTACAGGACAATAGGCAAGCAGCTTGGTGAGAAGGCAACAACTGTTGGCGCAATTATTAGAAAATGGAAGAAGTTCAAGATGACGGTCAATCACCCTCGGTCTGGGGCTCCATGCAAGATCTCACCTCGTGGGGCATCAATGATCATGAGGAAGGTGAGGGATCAGCCCAGAACTACACAGCAGGACCTGGTCAATGACCTGAAGAGAACTGGGACCACAGTCTCAAAGAAAACCATTAGTAACACACTACGCCGTCATGGATTAAAATCCTGCAGCGCACGCAAGGTCCCCCTGCTCAAGCCAGTGCATGTCCAGGGCCGTCTGAAGTTTGCCAATGACCATCTGGATGATCCAGAGGAGGAATGGGAGAAGGTCATGTGGTCTGATGAGACAAAAATAGAGCTTTTTGGTCTAAACTCCACTCGCCGTGTTTGGAGGAAGAAGAAGGATGAGTACAACCCCAAGAACACCATCCCAACCGTGAAGCATGGAGGTGGAAACATCATTCTTTGGGGATGCTTTTCTGCAAAGGGGACAGGACGACTGCACCGTATTGAGGGGAGGATGGATGGGGCCATGTATCGCGAGATCTTGGCCAACAACCTCCTTCCCTCAGTAAGAGCATTGAAGATGGGTCGTGGCTGGGTCTTCCAGCATGACAACGACCCGAAACACACAGCCAGGGCAACTAAGGAGTGGCTCCGTAAGAAGCATCTCAAGGTCCTGGAGTGGCCTAGCCAGTCTCCAGACCTGAACCCAATAGAAAATCTTTAGAGGGAGCTGAAAGTCCGTATTGCCCAGCGACAGCCCTGAAACCTGAAGGATCTGGAGAAGGTCTGTATGGAGGAGTGGGCCAAAATCCCTGCTGCAGTGTGTGCAAACCTGGTCAAGACCTACAGGAAACGTATGATCTCTGTAATTGCAAACAAAGGTTTCTGTACCAAATATTAAGTTCTGCTTTTCTGATGTATCAAATAATTATGTCATGCAATAAAATGCAAATTCATTACTTAAAAATCATACAATGTGATTTTCTGGATTTTTGTTTTAGATTATGTCTCTCACAGTTGAAGTGTACCTATGATAAAAATTACAGACCTCTACATGCTTTGTAAGTAGGAAAACCTGCAAAATCGGCAGTGTATCAAATACTTGTTCTCCCCACTGTATATATATAGAGAGAAAGGTGCAGAATACAGAATATCCATACACATTGAACATTGAAGTTCACAAGAAAAAACGAAACACACAAGGTCACGTTACAACAGCAAAAAGGGTCAAAAGTCACGTCATCATCGATCATGATCAACCAGTCAATCAGCATGTCAGATGTACCTAACAACAGCTAGCAGCAATTAAAAAGGCATCAATTTACTGCACTTCACAAGCTGCCAAAAATATAGCAAAAAGAGGGCGAAAATAGAGATAGAGATATAGAAACGACTCGACGGCACGTCATGCAACGCACGCAGTCACAGTCCTGCAACATGACGTCATCCAAAATAAAATGACACCATGGGTTCAACTTACAGGTGTGGGAACTGGGAACGTGTCCCCGTGACTGGTGGCTACTGGTTGGCTACACAACGACCATGGAGAGGCCATCTCATGTTATGATTGGCCCTGTCAGCTTGGCAGGTTGGGTTGGGTGCAAAACAACAGAAGAAGAGAAGCGGTGGAATTCCTCTTTTTCTCAAGTGGTAAATATGATGTAGCCCTTACTTTCCCATTTATTCCAGCCTCTCTCTCTCAACATCTCTGGTTGACAAACCAAATGAAGGAAGGTTATTACTGTCAAAATGAAAAAGTCAACAAATCAACAAATACAATGGGAAATATAGAGAATAAATTGAACCTTCAAACGTAAATAAAATAATAGCCTTTCTTTTTCTTTTTGAAGCAGTTCTGAGAGACTTTAGCCAGAGAACATTTACAGGGTAAAAGACTGGCATGCTGCACCGCATTCACAAAGATAAGACTAGGCCAAATGGCATGTTTTACATCTCAAACTAACACAGTCACACTCTAAATAATTGGATTTTGTCCTTGCATTGTATGCAATTATGTTGGTATGTACATTGAGTACCTAAGCCACTTATAAATTATTTAAGACCCAGAAATTGTCGGCAGAAATACTGAGTTAGTAGAAGAGTGGAGAAGAATGGTATTTTTTAGATCATACGTTTGAGGTTATTACATCGGTAATACAAAACTTTCAGTCAATCTCTACACATAATTTATGGATGATTTATCCTCTTTTAAAGTATCTACACCTACAACTAAGGGCATATTTCTGGCTTCAAAATCCTGTATTAGATTTTGTGTGCTTTTCAGCGAAATTGGTCTAACATTCAATTTATTTCCCCCCAAAACAATAGTAATAAAAATCATGAAACAACATAAAATCTCACACAGGTAGAGCCTGGACTGGACCAGACAGGAGAGAACATGGGATGAACAGTGAACACTACACATTTACAGACAATGTGTTGCTCTAACAATGAGAAGAATACACACATACTGAGCACAGTCAGAACGGCAGGAGACCAAACCCAGACAGACTTACCCCCCACCATCACACACACACACACACACACACACACACACACACACACACACACACACACACACACACACACACACACACACACACACACACACACACACACACACACACACACACACACACACACACACACACACACACACACAAATGGCTGTTGTTACAGACACACTGAGGATGTCATAATGACTAGCCTGTCGTCATCATTGTTCAGGACATTCTCCACTTATCCCTCATCAATGTGTTACATCAAAGTCATTCCCCCTCTCCTCTCTTCTCCTCTCCTCAGGCAGTCTACTCAGACAGACTCCTTTCAAATAGTGCCACATGTCTTCATTTAAATGCTATCTGACAGGAAATGAAGGTAGCATTTATCATTTCCATTACATATTATATATATCCATTAATGCAGTCCCTTCATTTTGGTGAGGCCATTGTAAAACATACAAATGTTATATACATGCAAATTGTTAATGGAAATAGACTATAGAAAAAAATGTACTGGTCTTATGTTGCAGTTGTATGCAGTCTAATGTATACAACCAAAATAACATGTTTCAGGTATGCAGTAGCCCTCATCATGGGCAATGAGTTTAGCTGGGGGGAATCAGACATGTGTCCCCACTGCCCCTCCTACTCCCTCACCCTGAGGGGCTGTCTGCCATTCAGACCTGGCTCTGGGCATGAATGTGGGCATGGCATGGCGTGTGCTCTTACCTGGATGTGAACGGCAGATGGGTCAGTAAGGTCGGTTGGCATCCTTTGGCCGCTTCAGCTGCACCTTCAGCCGCTTCATGCCTATCTGAAAACCATTCATGGCCTGGATAGCTGCCTGGGCACTGGACGGGTTATCGAAGCTCACAAAGCCTAGGACACAAAGAAGGAGGGAGAGTGAGAGAGAGACAGAGAGATACAGAGTGAGAGAGAGAGACATAGAGATAACAGAGTGAGAGAGAGAGACAGAGAGATACAGAGTGAGAGAGAGACAGAGAGATACAGAGTGAGAGAGAGACAGAGAGATACAGAGTGAGAGAGAGACAGAGAGATACAGAGTGAGAGAGAGACAAAGAGATACAGAGTGAGAGTGAGACAGAGAGATACAGAGTGAGAGTGAGACAGAGAGATACAGAGTGAGAGTGAGACAGAGAGATACAGAATGAGAGAGAGACCGAGAGATACAGAGTGAGAAAGAGACAGAGAGATACAGAGTGAGAGAGAGAAAGAAATAATGAAAAGGGGAAGAAAGAAAGAGAGAGAGACCCCCTTTTTAGCTTCCCACAATGCAACAACAATGGGTCTTCATTTTCCCTATTCAGGAGGTACATTCTCTGAAATAAAAAGATGATTACACGAAATCACAAAATGGTTAATGACATAGATATCAAAAACCTCCAAATTGAAGAGTGTTAGAAGTCGGAGGGTATAATTTGAAGAAAGGAGAAGCAAGATGAGATAAAAAGGAGTGTCATACGGTGTTTGAGGGTGTGTTTTCTGTGCATGTGTGTTTGAGAAACTGACAGAGAATATCTATGAGTATGAGTGTTGGTCTGTACAGTAGGATCTTAATTCGATCACCCTGTTGCAGGAGAACAGCAATGCAGGAATTTTAAAACTTGTATTGTATTTGAGGTTTAAAAAGGCTTCTGAAGTTTGTAATTTCCACTTTGAAATGTCATACTTGACTTTCCCTTACGAAAAATGTATCAACCCCTACAAAATGTCCATTAATTATAATCCACATAATAATTCACATTTCCTGTTGCTGCAGGATTATTTTCCTGCTGTAGCAAATTGGCTCAAATTAAGATGCTGCATCTGTATGTCTCTAAGCATAGCAAGGTGGAAGTGAAAGTGTATGTGTGTGTGTGTAGAGTAAGAGGAGCAGGGTCAGAGCATGGTGCCAGGCTCGGGGCGGGGCGTACTGGGTGTAGGTGTGGGAAGGTGGAGGGTTACCGTGAGTAGAGGTGTCTTTTCCCTGCCTGTGAATAGAGGTACCTGCCTCTCCTCTCCTCTCATCTCCCCTGCCTGTGAATAGAGGTACCTGCCTCTCCTCTCCTCTCATCTCCCCTGCCTGTGAATAGAGGTGCCTGCCTCTCCTCTCTTCTCCCCTGCATGTGAGTAAAGGTGTCAGCCTCTCCTCTCCTCTCCCCTGCCTGTGAATAGAGGTGCCAGCCTCTCCTCTCTCCTGCCCTGCATGTGCTCTGAGTTATCACTTGGGTGTTGGGGCGGAATGAGCCCGGAGCTTTCCACATTGGGACTCCTGCCTGTTTTTATCAGACACCTCCGTGATTGACGGCCGGAATTTTCCGCTTGCCAGCTGATTTGATCAGGTCGCTATGGGTCCAATTTAATTTGGGGGGAGAGGGCAGGCTTTTGTCAGGTGGGGAGAGATAAGGCTCCTGCTTTTACAAACCCTTTAAACAAACTGAGCAGGGAAGGGCCTGTCAGACAGCAACGATCCCCCTCACATCCCCGCTCTCATCAATCTCAACCTTGCATTTACATCCCAACCCCAAAAGGTGATTGTCAGGGAGGGGAAAAAGGTGAAGAAGAAGACAGTGAAGAAAGAGAGGACAAAGAAAAGAGCAGACTAGAAGTGTGGTAAATCATGGCACCATGTAAATCAGTCAGCTGCCAGGTTTATTATGATGTTTTATACAGCACTGTACGCTTCAGAGGGACTAGCAGCACTTGACTAGGACACATTCATTGCACAGCACAATGTAAAACACCCCAAACAGCCTTTGTGAGAGGAGATTGAATACTATCATGTATGAATCATCATTTCATGTTTCCCTCGCAGCTCTTCAGCTGAGAAAATGATGTTCAGTCCTCTGTAACATCCCTGTAGGGTATTACGGACAAGGTTTGATTTGCAGTTGAGAGTGGAGTACTGACAAAGGCTACAGTCTTATCATTCTACAGCTCTCCATCACTTCCAGTGTGGTGACTTAGTGTCTAAGGTGTAGCTCGGGAACTGTACAGCTAGATGCTGACCGACGTTGTGAAACGGCTTGATGGGCACTGCTCCCACTTTAAGCCAACCAAAACAGTAGAGTGCTGCTTGCTGTTCTTCTAAAAACAGAGGATAATCTATTTCAATGGTAAGTGTTAGTCTGCGAGTGTGTATGCAGTGCTTTCTAATTCCACTTAGAGAGGTGAGCTTTGATCATCCTTAAATGTCAATATTGAGTGAATAAACATGGAGGATTAAAATAACAGTGTATCCCAACAGAACCCAGACTAAGACCTTGAAACAGCCAGAAACTCAACATCCCACTCTAAAGCCAGTCTTTTAAGATCTCTCTGTGCTTTTACTCTACAAACAAACTCATTTGGGGCAGCTGGTCGTTCAGTCACCAAAGTGACTGGTCCACCATCTTCTTTAGCTGCACATCTGACATTCTGAAGCTGATAATTAACACCAACAACTAACAATTACCAGAGTGGATGTCAAAGCATGCTCAATCGCCATTGAAACGGTCTTAATGTTTTCGGGATGTTGGAACACTCTTTTTCACTTTGACAATTTCACTTTTTAAACTGGGACTTTGCCTCATCTCAGTAAGTCAATGACTACCCTGGATTCCATAATGATGACATTGGCACATTGCCTATTGTCAATCACTGAGAATCATAGGGTGTGTGCGCACACACACCCTATGATGTTGCATCTGATGTGCATAGGAAGAATTCATTTTCCATTTTGAACTGAAGAGGGATCAAATTGCTTCCCCTGTTGCTGCAGGAGAGTAATGATTTAGTTCACTTAATGCACAGCATCTTCTGTCTAATTTGTTAATGTCTCTCACAAGAGCCCTGGGGCTCAGACTATAAAAAGGAAGGCGAAAAAATGAGAGGTTAAATGATTGTTTTTCAGCCAAGATCTTAATTAATAGCTGCATGGGAAAATAATGGTGAGATGCGTGAGGTCACAGTTTCTTTGTCCTTCCTCGTAGAGTAGTGATAGACATGCTATTCTCATCCTAGACAGCCCATATAGGAGGTCAGTGGTCAGTTTCTGCAGTCCAGCTCCTCATCTCGTGGGTGCTGCTGTCTAGGGCTCAAACAGGTCTATTATTATCTCCTGAAGATCACACAGTCCACCTGCACATCCTCCACCACCACCCAGTTCCATTACTACAGGCTGTGTGGGAGGAAGGTGTTGGATAGGAGGCTGGGAGGCTGGGTCTCTAGGGGCTATCTATGGAGGCTGGAGGACCATAGTTTTATAGTATGTTTGTTGAAGGTGAAATGCTAATAGCCAGAAGGGCTTATGGAGACTATATACCCCTATACTGCATGTCTAGCTACATGGTAATAGGTACTTGAACCTGGGGAGCAGTGGACTTATACTGGAGTTTGAGGTAGTTAAAAACAAACCCCTTCCCCCCTCTCACCCACTCCCAGTATCTCATAAGCATCTGCTGATGAGTTGAACCTAAGGAGCGAAGCACACATCCCCCTCACCCTCTCCTCCCTGCTCACTCGCATGTAACGCCACTTTTCAAATGTTAATTGCAACTTGATTAGGATAGACACAGGGAATAAAGGAAAATACAACTAAATGCAGAATCCAAAGTGGGACATGAGAAGATTGGCAAACATCACAGTCGACTTCTCATCCAATTCTTTTTTTCTCAGCAGAGCTGACAGCTTTCACTCACTGACTCACCAAAACACTTGCTTTGATTGGTCGCCCGGTCCACAAAGACTTTGGCGGAGATGACGTTGCCAAAAGGCAGGAACATTTGCATTAACTCTGCGTCTCCAAACTCCTGGGGCAGATGGTAAATAAACAGGTTGCAGCCTTCCGGCCCTGGTGGGAAATAACAACAACAAACTATAGAGGTTACATGGGGAAATAGAAGGAGAGGACAGGCAGAGCATGCATGATGACATAAGCCCAGTGTCTGCCCCAATTACTAGCTGACAGTAGGACAGGACTGACTGGCTCCCAATCTCTCTTCAGTCTCCACAAACCTAGATACCACATACTATACATGGCCTTCTGATGAGGAGAGGAATAGACAGGAGAGAGAGAGAGAGAGAGAGAGAGAGAGAGAGAGAGAGAGAGAGAGAGAGAGAGAGAGAGAGAGAGAGAGAGAGAGAGAGAGAGAGAGAGAGAGAGAGAGAGAGATGTGTGGGCTGCTTGGTGTGCTGTGCTGTACTAGCGGCTGCATGGATTGTTCCCTGTCTCATTGCTCGGGGATGATAGCATGACGAGATGAGCCTGTGGCTGGTGAGAAGGCTGATAAGAGGCTGCTGAGGCTGGAGCTGACTGACTCTCCCTGGCCCAGATAGAGGACACACACAGTATGATAGAGAGCTGTGGTTTTACAGTCTGAGCTTGTGGCTTTATTCTGCCTGTTTGTTAGTTTAGGTGTGTCTCATGAAATGGGGGCTGCTGCGGCAGCAGTCTCCTGGCGGCTGCAGACTGGGGTAGGCAGACTGGGAGACCAGCCAACAGCCAAGCCAGAGAGGGAAGGATCCAGATCTGAGTCAGAGACAGGCCAGTGGGACTGAGACACTGTCAGGAGGAGGAGCAGCTCTGTGGCTTAATGTACACTGCAAACACAAGTATAGCAGTCACATAACCCTAACCCTAATGCAAGCTTAATTTAACTCAAGGATGGGGGTAGGTAGACCACAATGCTTGGCAAAACACACCGCAATACAATTATTCCCCTTATGCAATGTTAGAACACTTAGAGTCATTTCAGATTTTCCACGTTGACTAATAATCATATTCATAACTGTCACACACTGTACAATAACATAAATTAATAATGATATATGACAAACGGTGTCAGGAAGAGTGATTTACCATTACAGCATATCCTATGCTTTATTACATTTAATGCTGTGGTACTAACACTAAACTAGGAATGTTAATAAATGATTATGCATGCAGCTAATTAATCTAATGAATATTTATAACCACTTAAACATATTGTAATGGACTGATTAACCAGTCGAACACTGAAAGTTTGAATTAGTGCAGTTTTTGAATAATGACAGAGTAACTTTTCCATCTTGCTGCCTGCTAATGTTAAACTCTTTTAAATGAAATTCTATTTTTCTCACATTTTCCAGCCCAGTGTTTCCTCTCCCTGGCTAATTCAAGCAGCCGTACATTAGAATGGAACATGGTAAATATCACCTTTTATCTTGGGTGGGCGCTCCTGCTAGCTCTTACCTTCTCTCTGTTGCTGGGGGATGATGGTGGGTTGCTGGGGGAACGCTTGACTGATTGGTGCATAGGCGGCAGGGTAGGCTGCTGTTGCACAGAGAAGGAAAAGAGCCAGAGTGGGATATTACATCTCCATTTGCGACAACAACTTAAATCATTATTCTATTGTTCACGTCCTCCAGACACTGAATAAATAAATTGCATTACGGCTTGGAGCCTGAGCTCAATTTCATTGTGGATCACTACACAAAGGGAATGCACTGTCTAAACAGGGACACATACAGTACAGGAATGAGAGCCTATTCCTATCCTGATGGTTAAAGAGGAGAGGTCCTAGTGTGTGTCTATCTATATCACCGATCATGTAGAAGGGGTGTCCGGAACGCAGTTCTCAGTGTACTTTTGTCATTAAGATTTTTGTGTGGGTGTATAATCAAGTCCACTGGAAATCCGTTCAAATCCTAATGTAAAGTTTCCTAATCCTGGAGAAAATTGGCCAGTCCTCTGGGCTATCTTTAGCAGCCATAGTCTCTGCTAGAGTGACAGAGAGGGAGAGAGGGAGAGAGGGAGAGATGGAGGAGAGAGGAGAGGAGTGAGGAGAGGCAGATCACCTGCGTAGTGCTGCACACCGGCGTAAGCCTGCTGGAGAGGGTCAGTCACTGTAGGACTCTGTGCTGCAGAGAGAGAAAGAGAGAGACAGAGAGAGAGAGGGATAGAGAGAAAGAGAGGGAGAGAGAAAGAAAGGGAGAAAGAGAGGGAGAGGGAGATAAAGTGAGAGAGAGAGAGAGAAAGAAAGAAAGAAAGAAAGAAAGAAAGAAAGAAAGAAAGAAAGAAAGAAAGAAAGAAAGAAAGAAAGAAAGAAAGAAAGAAAGAAGAAAGAAAGAAGAAAGAAAGAAAGAAAGAAAGAAAGAAAGAAAGAAAGAAAGAGATGGAGAGAGAGAAAGAGAGAGAGAAACAGAGAGAAAGAGAGGGAGAGAGGGAGAGAGAGGCAGAGGATGGAATCATACATAGATTAGAGTTGTCATATTTCACAGTTCTTCAAAATCCCTGTTCTCCCCCAGATGTTTGCATCAAATATTAACAACATGCCAAACAAACTGCTTTGTGGTTCATTATCACTGCAGCTGCCTTACATAATGCATCAAGGAGTCAAGTGCATGATGATGTGTCAGTTGTTCAGGAATCATCAGGAGCATACAGCATTAAGAAGCTGAGGAGGAGCTTCTTAGGCTCATCATATTAACCATAATCATGAAAGCTCAGCTTGCTTTTCTTAAACCATCTTAAAACTCATATTTGACTCTCACAACCACTGTCACACACTTATTCTGATTGCAGTATGGCAGTCACCTAAGACTATCTTGCCAGGTCTCCCTCGACAATTTATTATATTTTCTTTCCTAGTTTAAGAAAAGGCTAAATGTCAATTTAATTAAACTGCTGTTAGATTGACTCACCTGAGTATAGGTGAATCCCATTGGCTGTCTCACCTGGGTAGGGGTGGATCCCATTGGTGTAGATTGGCTCGTTAGTGGGCTGACCGTTGGTCTGGGGCGGGAGGGATGCGAACCCGTTGACCCCCATGGGCGCCGCTAGGCTGGGCACGGTCGTGGCATTGATACCCGGCGGCGTGCTGGTGCCTGTAAATAGAGCAACCCTGTTTCATTACTGGGACCACAGGCCATGGTGGACATAGTTCACACTCCACAGTCTGCAGCCTCTCTCTGACCAGCGTCTAATTGGACACTAGGGCTGGGGCCTCTCTGTCTGTTAGTGGCCTCAGCCTCAACCCCGTGTCACATTTCAGGTTTGTCACCTTGTCCATACTCTCTCGTCTTGTGCCAGATGGATTATTATTATTTTCCCTAATCCCGGTGAAGGGCATTTAAGTCATGTAGGATTAAATTTGATAGGCATTACCTGGGTGTATGTAGGCTTTGTGGATTACAGATGGCGGATGGATGCAGAGGTGACTGAGCCACTTTATTTAATTCATTTAGAGAGACGAGTGGAGCCCCTGTCTTGGGCCAGTCAGCCTACTTAGTGTCGAGCCATCAAAGCTTTTCACGACAAGGGCCAGGAAGATAGGTCAAACTCAGGTCCAGGATTATCTCCCACAAATCTTTGCTCGTATATTGTATAGTCAAGGACTTTGCATCCAAAGTCATCAGATTGGCTGTGTTCCCGGAAACACACAAACAGTTGCCCATGAGAGAGAGCGAGAGAGAGAGAGAGAGAAAGAGAGAGAGAGATGGAGGGAGGGAGGGAGACTGGGAGAGAGAAAGAGAGAGAGGCCGTACTCTGTGGCAGCCAATGAGGGCTGGGGGATGTCGTACATCATAACCCATCATACCTCCCTCACGACACGTCTTCTCTATCTTACTTTAGGGCCCTATGTGACTCTGGCAATGTCATCTCTAACTTCACCACTACCAAAAGGGCAGACTCTTTTTTTCTCTAGACTTCACCACTACCTAAAGGCAGACAGTTTTTTTTCTCCCTTTTAAAAGAGACAGAGATGAAAAGAGACCTGATAACGTCTAAAGAAATGTACTAACAGCAAGGGCAGAATACATTACATTAGCACGGCTTGTACAAGGCTCACTAATGAATACAGTGAAGCATTACAGGCACGTAGGAGGGAGGGTTGGGGAAGGACGGGGAGACCAGTCCTGGCTGTGTATTTGTACCTGAGGAGGGTGTCATTGGGGCAGCCACCAGACCGTTGACGTTGAAAGCTGCCATTTGCTGCATTTGTGCCGCAGCGATGGCTGCCATGGGGTTCAGATACGAGTTCTGGGTCGCCGCCATTAGCGCTGCTTGCTGTTGCATCATCTGCTGTGGCATTGAAGAGAGAGAGAGGAAGGGGGGGCGAGGGAAAGAGGGGGAGAGGGAGGCAGTGGGAGAGGGGGGAAAGGGAGACGGGAGAGAGAGAGGCAGGGTGATATCGCCGTAGGACAAGGGGCATGTTTACTTTGCTTGGCCATGTCGTTGAATAGACAGGTCTCTGTTTCCCCGGAGCCCTGCTACTTAACAGCACTGCTGCTGTACAGGGCTGCTGCTCATTACAAACAACAGATAACACAATATAATGAGATGAAGCTAGAGAGCAGACAGACAGACAGTCAGACAGTCAGCCTGCTTTACTGTGTGTGAGTGGGTGATTCTCACCTACCAGGGCGAGCTGTTAGATACAGTGTGAGTGCAAACTCTACAGTCTCCAAACTTGAGGAGCTGTTAACTTCAGGTGTGAACGTAGGCTTTATAGATAGACAGAGAGTGTATAGCTAGCTATAGGCTTTATAGATAGACAGAGAGTGTATAGCTAGCTATAGGCTTTATAGATAGACAGAGTGTGTATAGCTAGCTATAGGCTTTATACATAGACAGAGAGTGTATAGCTAGCTATAGGCTTTATAGATAGACAGAGAGTGTATAGCTAGCTATAGACTTTATAGATAGACAGAGAGTGTATAGCTAGCTATAGGCTTTATAGATAGACAGAGAGTGTATAGCTAGCTATAGGCTTTATAGATAGACAGAGAGTGTATAGCTAGCTATCAGGAGGAGCCGTGACTCGCAGCGCAGAGTGTAAAGGCTCACCGTCTCCTCCCCCGTGGAGCCGAGACTTACAGCATGAGAGTAGGCGCCATAGGCCCCAAACTGGATGGTCATGGGGCTGAAGATGCCGAGCTGGCCCGCCATCTGATGCATCCTACGCAGGGTCCGCTCCTTATCTGTGTCGGCAAACTTCACCACCAGGCTGGAGGACGCCCCCTGGGGATACACACACTGCAATCAGTCAAGACAACACTCATCTCAGCACTGGACAGACACACACCACACTCAGTCATACATGTACCTCAATGACTACGCACACACACACCTCAACACAGGACACACACCACACCTACTCATAAACACACCACACCGAGTCATGACCACACACACCACACAACACCAGACACACACCGCACAACACCAGACACACACCACACAACGTCTGAGCTGACTGAGTGAATGTTTTAAATGACTCCAATCTGAGCTGTCTAGAGACAGTGGGAAATAGTGGGTGATCTATAGGTTACTGGTGTATACACTGAATGTACAAAACATTAAGAACACTTGCTCTTTCCATGACATAGACTGACCAGGTGAAAGCTATCCCTTATTAATGTCACTTGTTAAATCCACTTCAATCAGTGTAGATAAAGGGGAGGAGACAGGTTAAAGAAGGATTTTTAAGCCTTGAGACAATTCAGACATGGATTGTGTATGTGTGCCATTCAGTGGGTGAATGGACAAGACAAAATATTTAAGTGCCTTTGAAAAGAGTGTGGTAGCAGGTGCCAGGCGCACCGGTTTGTGTCAAGAACTGCAACACTGCTGGGTTTTTCACGCTCAACAGTTTCCCATGTGTATAAAGAATGGTCTCCCACCCAAAGGACATCCAGCCAACTTGACACAATTGTGGGAAGCATTGGAGTCAACATGGGCCAGTTTCCCTGTGGAACGCTTTCGACACCTTGTTGAGTCCATGCCCCGACGTGCAACTCAATATTAGGAAAGTGTTCCTAATGTTTGGTATATTGAGTGAACTGTGATCCTTAGTGTGGTCCCAGAGGAGTCCCAGTCCCCGTTCCCACCGCTCAACTGAATACGATACTCCATAATGAGGTCTGACTGGAGCCTTTGGCGTGCACAAGGAGAAGTATTGACTAATGACAGTGCCTTATGGCAGATATAGTGCTGTATTGATGTCTGTGCTACTGAGTTTGGATCCAATTAAATAATTTGAGAGACAGAGACCAGAGTCAGTTCTTCATATGACGTCCAGGGAAAGGAGAGGAGAGGAGAGGAGAGGAGAGGAGAGGAGAGGAGAGGAGAGGAGAGGAGAGGAGAGGAGAGGAGAGGAGAGGAGAGGAGAGGAGAGGAGAGGAGAGGAGAGGAGAGGAGAGGAGGCTGCCAGGCAGGCAGAGACACAGACACAGACAGCCTCAGTCTGTCAAGATGCCCAGATCCTATTTAATTCCAGCCAGTGCATGCTGCACAGAGAGAGAGAGAGATACTCAGGAACTGCTGCTGTGGTTGCACCCAGTAAAGGACAGAAGGACACAGGCAGCCAGAGGGAAGTCAGGATGTGATTAGCCAGATCATAAAAGCAAAGACACAGGGAGAGAAAAGAACTCCATAATCATAACTTGTATTCATCTTTCATATAATGTGTCATCTTGACAGGATCAGCACAAATGCTTGCTTTGATTTATATTTTGATGACAATATTTCCTTTCACGGTACAAATCGAAAAGAGATGGAAACTACAGGGAGACAGAGAGAGATGAGGACGAGTGTGTGTGTGTGTGTGTGTGTGTGTCAACAGCCAGAATGTGACCTCTACTGGGTCCCAAAAGCAAAAGGCTGGAACCCAGCCCAAGCGACTCTCCAGTGGCGCTTGAAGGGGGTCCGCCTCAAAAAGCAAAACAGAACAAACACAAAGTCCCCCAACAAACAAAGAAACAAACAAACTGCCTCACGCGGTGAATGTGAATGCAGTGAGTGAGTGTTGAGCCCGTCCACCAATAATGGTGTGTGAGTCTCCTGCACTGTGCTGTAGAGGCTGGGTGGGTGTTGGGAGGGTAGGGGTGTCAGCCTGCACCCTGGGGGGACAGTGTGTGTCATATTGGATTCTTCCTGTCAGAGGAGCCAGCCCTCTTCAGCCCTGCACCTGCCAGCCAGCGCCTCACCTCAGGCCAAGGGGGACCCATCTGGTTCTGCTCCCAAGATGCCATTTCAATTAGCTGAATCAATATGGCGGAGTGCCGCTCTAATGGTACACTGTTTTGTCCTTTCTAATTTCATTTCCTTCCCACCTCCTGACCTTTCACTGTTCTTTCCCTAACTTCTGCTGGGCCGGTGGAGGGACGGGGCTGTCGGTTTTAATGAGGTCTGCGCTGAGCAAACATATCCCTCCAGCACCTCTCCGACCGGCCGTACCTCGCCTCTGCGCTGCCCCCGCTTCCCACTTCTCCTTTAGCAGAGCAGAGGAGCTGGCATTTAGATCACATTCATTTTCTGCTTTATGTAGCTGTGTATTCCTTTATTCATTTATAACCATTCTTCATGAACCGTTCTTCATTTATTCATGAAGAATGCATTGTGAGCAGCAAGAAGAAGGCTTGGGAGGGGGAGAGCTCCAGGCAGCCTCTACTCAAAGAACCGTGACTCAGGACTCACTGACCCAAGCTAGGCTGGGCTGGTGTCTCCCCGCCTGCATAGTGCAGAGCAGAGTAGAGTATCAGGGAGCAAGATACCGTCTGCAGAGCCAGCCTAAAGTAGCACTAAAACCGAAACACTACCACAGCTCCTATTCACTATGGTACTGGAGAGAGAACAAACTGTGCTGGGCTTAGCATCTCATACTCTCTAAAAATCCCCCTAAAACAGAATTTACTCAGTCAGAGCCTCTTCACCCTATCTAAAAATATATAGTGTCAGAACAAAGGATTTCATACCTTCTACTAACTGTAATTCAACCTGATACATCCTGACTGGATCTCCAGCCCAATCTCTAGGAGAGAGAGGGGACTTCAGAGGGAGAATTCACTCGAGGGGATCAGAGGACTTCATCCATCTAAAAAGACCTGGGAATAATTCATCCACTAGATGCAAAGCAGCTACTTCTCTCTCTCTCTCTCTCTCTCTCTCTCTCTCTCTCTCTCTCTCTCTCTCTCTCTCTCTCTCTCTCTCTCTCTCTCTCTCTCTTTCTTCCTCTGTCTCACTCTCCCTCTCTCTCCTTTCTCTCTCTCTTCTCTCTCTCTCTCCCAGCAGAAAATCATAACCTGACAAACAAACAAAAATAATAACCTCCAACGGCATGACTCCTATCTCTAAAGAAAATTAATTCAGTGAATTTGATAAGGGGCAACAGGGAGCCTTCACTTTTGATAGGTACAGCTGAGGAATTTGTCACAGGTTCAATAACTAATTTAATTTTGAGAACAACACACTTGACTTGTGAAAAGCTCATATTGGATTTTGTGTATGGGCCAAAACGTGCAATGAAAAAAATTAACGGAAACGTAATTGAGGGATTAGAAATAAGCTACAAGAGTGAAACTGCATTATGTTTTTATCTGTGCATAGCCCTGATATAAAGACACAGGTGTAAAGTGGGTACTATACAGACATGTAAACACACACTCAGACTTTATCCTCAGCTTATGACGACACAATATGGGCAATAATGTGTGGAAGCCTGTCTTAACAGAATACTAATGACAAACCATTACTTTAATATCATTATGGCAACCATGTAAAACAAAATGACTTCTGAAATTCTAGGTTTATCTGTAATCATTCAACTTATATACTTCATGAAAAATTCCAGTCCCCTCAATATAATGTAAAAACAGGGAATGTTTTGTAAGCTGTTGCACTAAAATAGTCCTCTAAACCCTGGCTCAGTGACATTATTGGGCTCCATCCTTGCTGAAAGGGTTAAACCCAAAGCCGTAAATTAGATAATCAAATGAAACATAACAAGTTTGTCCAGTAATTGGATGAGGCCTCCAGTTGAACCTGTCTGTCCACATTCCTGTGGGCCTCATGGGAGGCGTGTGTCTCATTAGCAGTGAAGTGTTCTGTCTGTCTGTCACTTTTTGTCTGCATTGGTCCATACTGTCCAACAGTGGCCTGGCAACATGACCCACTCACCACACTCACCCACTTAAACAACACACACAAACAGACCATTAAAATACAGACCACTATTTACCTGAATTACATAGCTCGCTAAATACACACACAGTGTAAGCAATCTCAAGCAATAAAAGTTTATCTTCTCGTACTTGTATCTGTGTTAGAAATTCTATCATGCTTTCACCCAGCGTTTGACAGAGAGAGAGAGAGAGAGAGAGAGCAGAGAGAGAGAGAGAGAGAGAGAGAGAGAGAGAGAGAGAGAGAGAGAGAGAGAGAGAGAGAGAGAGAGAGAGAGAGAGAGAGAGAGAGAGAGAGAGAGAGAGAGAGAGAGAGAGAGAGAGAGAGAGAGAGAAAGAGAGTATTATGTATCATGCTCTCTAGCTTTGTGTTATCTCTCATTAATCGGTCTCTCTACTACCTCTATTTCTCTCCCTTCTCTCCTCTCACACACTGTCTCATTTCTGCCAACACTAGTGAGCTCAGCAGGCCCTGTCACCACTGGTGCGACACAGAACACGGCCATGTCTGCAATTTGCTGGGTGCTGTCTGCCCCCGGCTCTGCCATTTGAAGCCCTGCCACCTGTGTCTCCCCCTTTTTTCATTCTCTCTCTCTCTTTCACTCTCTCTCTCTCTCCACAGCCTTAATTCAACAGCTGAACCAAGAGAGCGTCGGCCTGTTTGGAGCCTGATTACCTTTTAAGTTCAATTAGGGGCACCTGCAATCTGCATCAATTAAAGACCTGACCTGATCTATCAGCCACTGCCCTTCGGTGGCATCCCTCGCCCTTTCCCTTCATTACCATGGCTTTCATTACCACCCAATGTATTTTGGTCTGTGCAGGTATTATTTATGGCCGGGTGTGGCTGCCAGCTAACACAGATGCTCTAGAGTTGAACATTAAGAGAGAGCTCTTTGTGCGAGACTGGTCCAGACCCCACAGCTGTCAGTAGGTTAGAGAGCCTCTCTGGATCCTGCCTCCTGTTAGTTAGTTGTTGATGACATGTGGCACTGATATTATCCAAATTAACTGCATCCCCCTCAGTATCAAAGCCTTAGCTCGGTACTAATGGCCACCTTGCCTATTAATCTGACTGGGACTTGGACGTAGGATATAGAGGTAACAGGTGCAGGGGTAGAGGGAGAGATATGGATAATATAGATTATTAATGAGCTTTTGGATGGCTTTGGATACAACCCTGGGTCTGTTTGGGGCTCCATATGTCGCCTTGGACAGTTCATCTGCCGTAGAGCAGATCTCAGGTGGCTTAGCTGGCTTTGGTACTGACCCTGTGTTACTGCAGGCTGGGCAGGGCAGGGGCTCAGAGCAGCAACAGACACACACACCCAAAGTTAGAGTTGCTGGGGGTTTTTTCCCTCCCTAAGCTTGCGACTTCCAACGCTGATGCAAAACGTGTCGGACAGCATCAGAAAGGGAAAGATGTGTAAATGACATCCGGCTTCCAGGACACTATCCTGCTGCCAGAGAGCATACGTAAATATTTATTGCAAAACATCAATGGAGTGTATGAACTGAAGGTGTCTGCCAGGGACTGTGACTCTAAAATATGCATGGAGCACAGCACTAGCATGGAGATTCTGTGTTGTTCATCATCTTCTCTTAGTAAAACATATTTAATGATGGCCTTTACATGCCAGATAACAAGCATAACAACCCCAATTTGTAATTACTGCAATTTGACAGGAGTTGCAGGATATCCAATGATTGGGAGGATTCCCAGCATGTTGGGTAGGAGATCTTTGTGTTGATACTGTAATACACTTTGGTTTATTCTCTACAATTATGGTCTCAGATTAATCGTCCAAGCATGTTTGCTACAAAACATACTACTATAAATGTACAGTGGGGAAAAAAAGTATTTAGTCAGCCACCAATTGTGCAAGTTCTCCCACTTAATAAGATGAGAGAGGCCTGTAATTTTCATCATAGGTACACGTCAACTATGACAGGCAAATTGAGAGAAAGAAAATCCAGAAACTCACATTGTAGGATTTTTTATGAATTTATTTGCAAATTATGGTGGAAAATAAGTATTTGGTCACCTACAAACAAGCAATATTTCTGGCTCTCACAGACCTGTAATTTCTTCTTTAAGAGGCTCCTCTGTCCTCCACTCGTTACCTGTATTAATGGCACCTGTTTGAACTTGTTATCAGTATAAAAGACACCTGTCCACAACCTCAAACAGTCACACTCCAAACTCCACTATGGCCAAGACCAAAGAGCTGTCAAAGGACACCAGAAACAAAATTGTAGACCTGCACCAGGCTGGGATGACTGAATCTGCAATAGGTAAGCAGCGTGGTTTGAAGAAATCAACTGTGGGAGCAATTATTAGGAAATGGAAAACATACAAGACCACTGATAATCTCCCTCGATCTGGGGCTCCACGCAAGATCTCACCCCGTGGGGTCAAAATTATCACAAGAACGGTGAGCAAAAATCCCAGAACCACACGGGGGGACCTAGTGAATGACCTGCAGAGAGCTGGGACCAAAGTAACAAAGCCTACCATCAGTAACACACTACGCCGCCAGGGACTCAAATCCTGCAGTGCCAGACGTGTCCCCCTGCTTAAGCCAGTACATGTCCAGGCCCGTCTGAAGTTTGCTAGAGTGCATTTGGATGATCCAGAAGAGGATTGGGAGAATGTCATATGGTCAGATGAAACCAAAATATAACTTTTTGGTAAAAACTCAACTCGTCGTGTTTGGAGGACAAAGAATGCTGAGTTGCATCCAAAGAACACCATACCTACTGTGAAGCATGGGGGTGGAAACATCATGCTTTGGGGCTGTTTTTCTGCAAAGGGACCAAGACGACTGATCCGTGTAAAGGAAAGAATGAATGGGGCCATGTATCGTGAGATTTTGAGTGAAAACCTCCTTCCATCAGCAAGGGCATTGAAGATGAAACGTGGCTGGGTCTTTCAGCATGACAATGGTCCCAAACACACCGCCCGGGCAACGAAGGAGTGGCTTCGTAAGAAGCATTTCAAGGTCCTGTAGTGGCCTAGCCAGTCTCCAGATCTCAACCCCATAGAAAATCTTTGGAGGGAGTTGAAAGTCTGT